TTACTGCCTTTGGGACAGTGTTAGTGTATAAGTCACGACAAGATGTATGAAACATCTATTTGCCCCTCAGAAAAGGTACCTGAACTCAACAGCTAGGATAAAGCCTAGACAGCCTGGCATGCCTCTCACTGACAACAGCGAAGCCCTGATGTGGTGAATCCCTCAAAATGTGTGTATTCCCATGGCAAAAACCCACAACCATACCAAGATATTTTGAGAATTGTACTGCAGCGCTTGTACAACGTCACCTCAGGGACCAGCAATACAAATACGCATGCAAACAGACCTTCTAAACCCAGTCTGAAAGGTCAACATGAAAACTCAAACACAAGTGTCCTCACTCTCCACAGCTTCCTTGCCAAAACAAGAGGGGGAACAGTTTTAAGAGGAGATCATATACCCAAAGAAAACCAATACATATTTGTAACTGCACAGAAGCTTATTCTGTGTGCGTATATGTCAGGGAGGGGAGGGGGAAGGGAGAAAGCAAGGAACAAAGGAAGAAAGAAAGGAAGAAAGAAAGAAAAAGAAAGAAAGAAAAGAAAGAAAGAAAGAAAAAAACCTGAATTAAAAACTCATCTGCTCAGATAACATCTTTTATGAAAATAGTCCCTGATCCTTGTTATCAACTGAGCTCTGTTACACACAGACTGTGGGGAAATATGTAGGTGTCAAAATTGGGAATTAACTTACTAAATCAACTGATTCTTGCAGCATTGGTTGTTGGCCCGGCTTGGGACAGACCTTGGAGCAGCGCTAACGGTTGAGAAGTCAGGCTGTGACCAGAACCAGCTTGAAATAGTCTGAAAAAGCCTCAAATCAATGTGAGGGCTTCCATTAGCTTCTGTTTTCCATGGTTAATACTGCCTTTTATTGGCTGGTATTGAGGCATGCTTTCTGGTGGTTTTTCAGCCTCTACCATTACTGTTGTTCCTGTACTGAGTGCTGCGGTGTCCAGGTCCATGTGCTTAACCCAAATTTATGAGAAATTTATGGAATTAAATACAGTGCAGTAGGGGCCGAGCCTCCATGACAGTGCTCTCCTTCCTCCTCTTCTAGGCCCGTGTTTGTTTTCTGAACTGCCACAAACCGTTTCCATCGAGTAAAACCAAGCAGAAGCTGTGTTGTGTGCGCACACACTTGGTACCTGTAAAGTGACTTCCCATCGGAAACATCTGAAATGAGTCACGTTTTCTTCTCCTGGCACTTAGTTATCGACCACTCAGGTCAGTAATAAAGTGCTTTTTTTTTTTTTCCCCAAATAGAGTGAGAATGTGAAGGTGAAAACGAAATTATATTATTAAAAAAAGCTAGTTATATATTTTTGTAACGTGCTGATCACAATCATGAGGATCATCCATGAGGATCATCATGAAACGCAGC